TACATGGAATGTTCGTACAATGTGGGACACCGGAAGAGCCTTCCAAATTGCTGCAGAAATGAGAAGATACAACCTAGAGGTACTTGGGATCAGTGAAACACATTGGACACAAGTTGGACAACAACGACTAGCTTCAGGAGAGCTCCTGTTATACTCCGGCCGTGAAGAAGAAAATGCACCACATACACAAGGAGTTGCATTGATGCTGTCCAAACAAGCGCAAAATGCACTTATAGGATGGGAATCTCATGGACCAAGGATCATCAAAGCCTCGTTTAAAACAAAGAAAGAGGGCATTTCAATGAACATCATCCAATGCTATGCGCCTACCAACGACTACAATGAAGACGCTAAAGATCAATTCTACAATAGGCTGCAGTCAATCGTCGAGAAGTGCCCAACAAAGGACCTGACCATTCTGATGGGAGATTTCAACGCCAAGGTTGGAACGGACAACACTGGATATGAAGACATCATGGGACGACACGGACTGGGAGAAAGAAACGAAAATGGTGAGAGATTTGCAAATCTATGTGCCTTCAATAAGCTGGTCATAGGCGGCACCATATTCCCACATAAACGCATACACAAAACCACATGGACTTCACCGGATCACTCTACACAAAACCAAATCGACCATATTTGCATCAACAAAACGTTCAGGAGGACTGTAGAGGACGTGAGAACCAAGAGAGGAGCTGATATAGCATCAGATCATCACTTACTGGTCGCCAAGATGAAATTGAAACTCAAGAAGCACTGGACAACGGGGCAGACAGTATCACAAAAGTTCAATACGGCCTTTCTCCAGGATACTAACAAACTCAACAAATTCAAGATAGTCCTCAGCAACAAGTTCCAGGCCTTTCATGATCTACTCAATGGAGAAGGAACTACTGTGGAGAGCAACTGGAAGGGGATCAAAGAGGCAATCACTTCAACATGTCATGAGGTCCTGGGTCACAAGAAACACCATCACAAGGAATGGATCACTGTTGATACACTGGATAAGATTCAAGAAAGGAGGAACAAGAAGGCAGCAATCAATACCAGCCGAACAAGAGCAGAAAAAGCTAAGGCACAAGCTGAATACACGGAAATAAACAAACAAGTGAAGAGGAGTATCAGAACCGACAAACGTAAATATGTGGAAGATTTAGCAACGACGGCGGAAAAGGCTTCAAGAGAAGGAAACATGAGACAATTGTATGACACGACAAAGAAACTCTCTGGAAATCGCCGCAAAGCAGAACGACCAGTGAAAAGCAAGGAAGGCAAGGTAATCACCCACATTGAAGAGCAACAAAACAGGTGGATAGAACACTTCAAAGAACTCTTGAATCGACCAGCTCCACTGAACCCACCCAACATCGAAGCAGCACCCACGAACCTCCCAATCAATGTTGGCCCACCAACAATTGAAGAAATCAGCATGGCCATCAGACAAATCAAGAGTGGCAAAGCAGCAGGACCGGACAACATCCCAGCAGAGGCACTAAAAGCAGACGTAGCGGCAACTGCAAGGATACTCCACATTCTCTTCAATAAGATTTGGGATGAGGAACAAGTACCAACAGACTGGAAAGAAGGACTTCTAATCAAAATACCGAAGAAAGGCGATCTCAGCAAGTGTGATAACTACAGAGGCATCACTCTTCTCTCAATACCGGGAAAAGTCTTCAACAGGGTATTGTTAAACAGGATGAAGGACTGCGTAGACGCCCAACCTCGTGACCAACAGGCAGGATTCCGTAAGGATAGATCGTGTACAGACCAAATCGCAACTCTACGGATCATTGTGGAACAATCAATTGAATGGAATTCATCACTCTACATCAACTTCATTGACTACGAAAAGGCATTTGACAGCGTGGACAGAACAACACTATGGAAACTTCTTCGACACTACGGCGTGTCCCAGAAGATAGTCAATATCATACAGAACTCATATGATGGATTACACTGCAAAATCGTGCATGGAGGACAGTTGACAAAGTCGTTCAAAGTGAAGACCGGTGTTAGGCAAGGTTGCTTACTCTCACCCTTTCTCTTTCTCCTGGTGATCGACTGGATCATGAAGACGTCAACGTCTGAAGGGAAGCACGGGATACAATGGACATCTAAGATGTAGTTGGATGATCTAGACTTCGCAGACGATCTGGCCCCTTTATCTCACACGCAACAACAGATGCAGGAGAAGACAAACAGCGTGGCAGCAGCCTCAGCAGCAGTAGGTCTCAACATACACAAAGGGAAAAGCAGGATTCTCCGATACAACACAGCATGCACCAATCCAATCACAATTGATGGAGAAGATTTGGAAGATGTAAAAACCTTTACGTATTTGGGCAGCATCATTGATGAACAGGGTGGATCTGATGCAGATGTGAAAGCACGGATCGGCAAAGCAAGAGCAGCATATTTACAACTGAAGAACATCTGGAGCTCAAAGCAGCTGTCAACCAACACCAAGGTCAGGATTTTCAATACAAATGTCAAGACAGTTCTACTGTATGGGGCAGAAACTTGGAGAACTACAAAAGCCATCATCCACAAAATACAGGTGTTTATTAACAGTTGTCTACGCAAAATACTTCAAATCCATTGGCCGGACACTATTAGCAACAGCGCACTGTGGGAGAGAACAAACCAGATCCCAGTGGAGGAAGAAATCAGGAAGAAGCGCTGGAAGTCGATAGGACACACATTGAGGAAAGCACATAACTGCGTCACAAGACAAGCCCTCACATGGAATCCTGAAGGTCAAAGGAAAAGAGGAAGACCAAAGAACACATTACGCCGAGAACTGGAGACATACATGAGGATAATGAACAAGAATTGGATGGAACTAGAAAAGAAGGCCCAGGACAGAGTGTGTTGTAGAATGCTGGTCAGCGGCCTATGCTCCATTGGGAGTAACAGGCGTAAGTAAGTAAGTAAGTAATCATCAGGATCGTTCAAACAGTAAGATTAGGTGTCACGGCAGTGTAGTTACATTTGTAAACGTTAACAGTTGTCAACCTAATTCATGTTTTAAGTTTTCAAACGACTTTATCAACTGTATAACTTTAATACGTCGTCCAAAACACTTGAAGTTTTGAAGGCAGTTAGCACGGTATGTGGTGAATCTTTGGAGGTCATTAGTGATATGGATGTTGACACACATCCGAAATCCTGCAAACTCCTGGCAGGCATTATCTTCTTAAATACTAACCATCCACTTCGTTCATATCTTTCTCCTTGTATATCAATACATGTCAATACATTAGAATCCATGAACCCAAGCAAAGGTATGAAAGTTCTACAATGCCTCATCTAGCAAATATACTATGTGACGAACAAGTTGTTAGAGTTTATCCAGTCAATAACTTGTATTCTTAAACATTTTTCTAATTAAAATGTTGTACAGATTCAAATCTTCTTTAAAAAACATTTCGGTTGATTCCAGGTGGTTTATCTACTTATGTATATATGTATGCAGTCACCAGTTTCTCTCGTTTTTTCTTCTTTTTGTAAAAGAAACTTGCTGAAATACCTAGTGCTGAGAATATTATATTGTACCAAAAGTGTAATATTGAATAATAGTAATAGTGAAAATAAACACGGTGGGCTATAATTTTTAAATCGTTTGGTTAAAAAATATCTAAGTAGAGCTCTAAATTCAACCATCTACCTAAAACCAACACACTCAAATCGTTATATCGATTCCATTTCAGTACATTCATTCAGTGCAAAAATCTATCTAGCCTTAAATCTCTTTGGAAAATCAAACAAGATTGTTACATCTAAAAAGGGTAAACGAAAAGAACAAAAGCATATAACTAACATCTTACAATTTAATAATTCTTCCTATTGAGATTGCTAAAAGTGCGATAAAATGAGACGTCTTACTGTTAAATAATAATCCGAATGAAATATCATGGATTGGTACTATGGTTTTACCATACCGCTATGGTACAACAGAGCTCCAAAGAGTCTTAAAATAACACAGAGTCAAAGCATACTACAAAACAACTAACATACTCCGAAATGCTTTAGTTCGTATGAAGGAAAAAGCCCCCTTTATGTCGACGCAGAAAGGCGTCTACAAATAAGGATGTGTCGATTGTGATATCCTTTCATGTTGAAAAGCCATCTCAAGAAATCATGGCCCGAGCTAAAAAAAACATCTTGAATACACAAGGAAACCACTTAATAATCATTCAGGACTGGCAAGGCTCCAAATTAGATCGGCAATAGCAGTTCATGCCATTTTCAATAACCATTAAATCGATATTAAAAATATCAAAATAATAGAAAAAGGCTTTTCCAACTATAAAAAAGGCGAGTAGCAGAAGCTTTTCAAAAATTAATTAATCCTACTTCCCTCAGTAGAGATCTTACTATTCATTCGACTTGGACATCTATCCAAACTACAATGTCTGGTCCTATTCACATTTCACACTATTATCTTCAGTCGTCAGTAATAAGGATAGTAGGTTGGTGAACCTGTGTTAATCCTGACAGATTGCTTTCCAGTGAGGGCCCAGCTTCTCCTTGAAAATATTCACTGGTCGGGCTGATACCACGAGTTCGAGTAATGCGTTCCAATCATTGACTACTCGATGAGTAACTCAACTCTATCTTTTCACATCACAAACGTCACATTTTTCGTTCACTGATATGCACAAAAATACACAAACATGTTTCACATAAAACACCTTAATTGGAATGACATGTCATTGACTTGATCAGACCTGTGTTTGTATTGATCTCACTAAATATTTTAGACTTGTTTCTTTATACTATTTAAACTTGGGTTATCTGATTTGTTTATTCATTCTCTGAAGAAGCGGCTTACACTGAGTGACGAGATGTTAGAAATGTAAGTTGAAGTTTTCTATGTATTATGTTACAAATATATCATTATTTTGCAATAACAGTATATATATTTAACGACCAGAACGCATTAGGAATTAGATTAAGTTGTTCTGTTGAAGAAAGCGACATCAAAACCGTACCATGCAAGTATTTGAAATTCAGTATTGTTCTGAGGCCAAAATTCATTAATTTATAACTATAGTACTACTCTTAACCGTAATATATCCAACCAAAAATATACGCAACCTGTGATTGTGTTAATCTATAGTACATTTACATTTACATAAATATTCAGTTACTGTTCAACCATATTTCTAAACGTAAAACATTAGGACTTTCTGTAGCCAAGTTTATTTTTCAGAAACTCAACAAGCGGTTATCATTCAATTTTGAACATGTGCTGGCGAATCATAGACAAACCAACTTAGCTTTAAAAATTACTGAATGGAAGAGTTTTTTTACTTACCGGGACTGTTTTATCCCATTCCTTCATTAATGAATTTCGGACCATCCCTATATTCCCATTATTTTTGTGTCCCAACGCTTTCAAATCCACAGAAGACATTAGATCTATGATAGGTGTAAGAGATTGTATAGTAGGTTTTGGTGTCGTGGATATGTCAAATACAACCAACTTATCATACCTTTCTGGCTGGCTAATAATCATTTAAAAGATAACTACTTTCATTAGAGCTGCGCACATAACCGCTTTGCCGCCCATACTATGGCCAACCAAGCATACGCTCCGCAGGCTGAGGTCATCTACAACCATGTGTATATCTTCAGCCATATTAAAATAGTTCATATAATCGGAATGTGGGCTATTTCCGTGATTACGTAAATCAACGGCCACAATCTATTAATGAACGACTAAGATTTATGCACTTACAGTTCCACAGTTTTTCTGAGCTAACGCATTAGAAACACTCTTCCAATTATTCTTGGAACCCAATAAACCATGGCAGATCACCATACTAGATTTAAGCGAGGAATCAGCTGACTGCAAAACCGAACGAGATAGCCGCAGCGCCTTATTCATTTTGGCGTACAAATGGTACAAATGGTTCAAGAGTGGATGAAATACTTCAAAATGGAATAGAAGACGTTATCGCTTAAGGAGCTTCCGTATCTAGTAGTAGTGCATCGACAATACTTCCAGGCAGGAACCAAGTTATATTAACGATAACAGAGGGTTAAAAATAGAAATTGGTAGATCATAGTGAGAAACTGTCCTTAGTCTCTAAGAATATGTTACGTTTCTCCTAAAGCACCGCTGGGAAGTCGGCAGCAAATTCGAGCATTTGACAACTTTTAAGGAGCAGAAGTTGTTAGTCATCTAAAAAGGACAGTGGTATTGTTTCTCGTTGAATTAGTAAATTGTTTTGATCGTAAATTACGTATCAAAACTACGATTTACACTTTAATTGAATCTAATACAGTTAAAGTGATATTCTGTTGAGTTTTTTTCGCTTTTGTGTGTTTATTACGTTTGAAGCATTCTTGGTCTGTGTCAAAGTACTTTCGCTAAGGTTTGAAATCTTGCTAAAGTTTTTCTTGTGGTAACCTTTTATTCGTTGACTGACATTTGTGTTCATACTGTGATCATATTGTATGTTACACCTTGATCAGACTAAAATGGTTGATAGTACTCACAAATGTGGACAACCAAACTGTTTGTTCCCTGTGGAGGAGGGAATGCAGTGTGACGAATGCCATAAGTGGTTCCACAAAATGTGCGCCCACTTAAGTTCCACCGCATACAAAAGATGTTCGAAGACTAACTCACATTGGCTTTGCATGTTTTGCTGTGCCAACAAGGCATTAATAATACAGGAGGCTATGAGCCTATTGGCTTTCGCCTGTAAAAAGAAGGATGGCATATGCGCCGACAACACGGGCACTGACAGCGACGAATGTGTCAGTGTAGTACCTGCTGTTACGCGACGCCTCAAACAACCGACTCTGACTGACGTAAAAGTGGAATCTTCGTTGACATTAACAGGGGGAGTAGTACCACCTGGTACTGACATTGTTAATAATGCACCTTTAGTGGAAACCGAAGATCTGGATAAAACAGTCACCGTCCCAAATAGTCCCAGTGTTATGAGGGATGAAAAATGGACTACGGTACGTAGGAAACGAAACGAAAAGAAAAAAGCTGTAAGCAGTACACAGGTAGTTAGTAACTCACTGGTGGACCCAAATTGTGAGCCACAAATTGCACTACCAAAATCTGAAGGTAAGAGTGAAACCCATCCTGGCGTGACTGAGAAGAAAAATCTAATAACATCGAATATTATTGTGAGCAAATTGCGGAAGTCAAACGACCCTAATCCGAAAATTAGACACGCGCATGACTTAGAAAAGCTAGAAGAATACATTCGTAGTATTTTACCAGATAACTCCAAAGGATAGGCAAGAGGACCGAGGACAATGTTGAACCCCGTCCATGCAGACTCCTTAAGGTAATCCTAGTATCGGAGAAGCAACGGGATCTCTTGTTAAGTAGCGCTCGTTGTCACGACAATTCTGACATCCGAGTAAGACCTGACATGTCTCTCGAAGATAGAATAAAAAGGAAGAAAGCACTAGCTGAACTTGAAACCCGTCGGCAAAACGGCGAGGAAAATCTCCGACTAGTGGGTTTTCGGATAGTCAGGTCTTGAAAGCGAATGCTACCAAGGCCTGTGTGGATAGGCTGTTCTACTTAAACGTTTTATATGCCAACGCTCGTAGTTTACGAAATACGTTCTATGAACTAGAAGCACTAGTAGACAGGTTAAATCCACTCATAGTAGCAGTGACAGAAACTTGGTTAGTCCATGACTTAGACATTACTCCAGAATTATCCGGATACCATTGCATCAGGAGTGATAGACATAGATGTAGAAAAGGAGGCGGCGTCCTGTTATATAAAGCCAATGGCATAAATATCCGCTCCTCTACTAGCGAATCCCATGATAGCGGCACTTGTGAAGTCATTAGCTGTAAGTTGGCAATAGGATGTAGTACATTTATGCTAGGTGTCATCTATCGGAGCCCAATCTGCTTAGCTGATGACTTTGTTTTAGAGCACATTCATCTTTGGAGTGATAATACCAGATATTTGATAATAGGAGACTTTAACGCACCTGATATTAGTTGGACTGATATGACCACAGAAGGATCTATAAACTCCTTTGATAGTAGGTTACTGATAACAATAATGTAGCATGCACTAGTGCAGCATGTATCCCAACCCACACGTTTTGGTGTTAACCAGGGTTCTTCTCTGATGGATTCGATAATCACTCATGAGACTGAGGACATTGTCGACCTGAATATTCTTCCACCGTTAGTAAACAGCGATCACGCTGTTTTGTCATTCGCGTTTAGAACTAGGGATATGTTATACGATCAGGTTACACCTTGCCCAAATGTATGGAAAGCTAACATATCAGCCATTCAGGAATGCGCTGCTAAGACAGATTGGTTAGTAGATACTAGCATATCAGTTAAAAAAGCATGGTCTTTATTTAAAGGTAAATTTAGACTAGTTACGTCCCCGTTCATACCATACCTGATACCGCGAAGACCGAATAATAGTGCACCATGGATAACCAAAACAGTCAGGAAACTCCCTAGAAAAAGGAAGAATCACTGGAATATGTTCATCTCTACTGGTTTGGAACAATACAGATCCAGTTATTGTAAGATTAGGAATGCCTGTATAGCGTTATTATGTAAGACTAGATGATTATATGAAAAACAATTGGTTAGGGATTGTTGATATGGTCCGAAACGGTTATTATCGTACATAAAAAGGCAAACTCAGAGATGCGATTGAATTCCAATAACTTTTGCTACAAGGGACTCCGTTAATCTTGACAAGAAACGATATCGAAAAAGCTGAAGCTTTATCGGAATATTTCACTAAAGTGTTTTCTATCGGTTATGAAGAACGACCAGCGATTCATTGTGATTGTGGCGGCTCCTTGATGGGCCCTGTTGTCATTGAGAAAGTTACTGTCTTAAGGCTACTTCAGCATCTCAAACCTGATAAGTCCAGTGGTCCTGATGATATTCATCCTACGATTATGAAAGCCATATCAGATGAAATTGCTGAACCATTAACGATACTGTTTGACATGTTTCTGAGACAGTCCAGACTGCCTAGAGACTGGTAAGACACCATCATAATTCCGGTGTATAAGGCTGGGAGTAGGGATTTAGTTAGCAACTATAGACCTGTTAGCTCAACTAGTGCAGTTGTAAAACTGATGGAGAAAATCATTCGGATATCCGTTCTAAACTGAGGTGAAGGGCATAATCTTTTCTCCAGGGAACAACATGGTTTTTGGAGAGGCCTATCATGCTTGGCAAATCTCATTGCAAGAGAAGATTGGGCTGCTGCAAAAGATCAGAATATTCCTGTGGATGTCATCTTCATAGATCTAAGTAAGGCCTTCGATAAAGTCTCCCAGTCTGGTCTTAAATTCAAACTGGAATGTTTGGGAATCCATTATACAGTCATACATTGGATAAGTAAATTTCTGCATGAGAGGAGACAGAGGGTAAGGGTGAATGGGGCTCTCTCCTGGTGGGTACCTGTAAAAAGTGGGGTTCCTCAAGGTACAATCCTATGACCTCTTCTGTTTTTACTTTATGTAAATGAATTACCAACTATAGCAAAATCATCCGTCCTACTCTTCGCTGATGACATAAAGATTTGGAGACACATACACACTATGTCGGATAGGATAGCATTACAGAATGATCTTAGCTCATTGGTGGCATGGTTGGACAGGTGGTCACTGGAAGTAAACACTAATAAGAGTGTAGTGATGCAGTTAAATAACTCTGATGAATCGTATGACTATACACTACGTGCATTCGTGCTACCCAAAGCAAGAAACTACAAAGACTTAGGAGTTATATTAAGCAATGATCTCAAATTCACTAGTCACTGTAAGGCTGCTGCTGCAAAAGGCTATAGGGTATTATGGTCAATTCGTAGGTCTTTTCAGTATTTAGATGATGAAATGTTTGGATTACTATACCCGATTTATGTGCGAACACATTTAGAATACGGGATTCAAGCAGGGTGTCCTTGTTTCAAATATGAAGCAGACATGCTAGAAAGAGTCCAACGACGAGCTACTAAGATGGTACAAGGTCTATCTGGCCTATCTTATGAAGACAGACTGAGACACCTTAACTTATTTCAGTTATCTTATCGTAGAATACGGGGTGATCTAATATTGGCTTATCGTATACTGAACGATGACCTTGGTATTAACATGCCTTATCTTTTGCTTCCGTCTAGAACCGATCATTTGAGAGGACATTCGAAGAAAGTTCAAAAACCGAGATCAAACCGTTTACGTCTGGAGTTCCGTTTCTCGCACCGAGTAGTGAATTACTGGAATTCTCTACCGGAACACGTAATATCAGCACCGTCTGTTAATATATTCAAAACGAGATTGGACCTCCACAGTATTACAAACTGCAAGGATTAATATAGGTCGACAGACCTCCTATCCTTATTACTGAAGACTGATTTGTGCGCGAAGGTGATATCGCATGAAATGTCCCGCTGCATTTGATACGTCAAGGTTGGTTACAGGGATATTTATATCTCAATAAGACGTTTGGTCGATCTTAGCCTGCCCAAAAAGTAGTTCAAGGTAAGGATTATTTTAAAAAGAGAAATCACGTCCATAAAATGTCCTTTATTTATTCGACACTCAATAATTGGTAGACCTAATTTGGGGTGAAATTCGAAGTTCCTAAAAGGACTTATTTTATATACAAAACAAGTAGATCTTTTGTTTCGATTATATGGACACCGAAGTTACGAGCTAAAATGGGTCCTAACATTAAACTGTCTGGAACTATGGTTTATAGACGGATTCTTGTATAGCCAACCTGCTGACTGCGGTAGAGATAGACAACCATCCTTGATCGCAAGGGGGAGGTTAACAAATTTACTTAGACTTCTCAAAAGCTCTTGATAGGGTCAACTATATATGTATTATCAATGATCTCAGACGATGAGGCATCAAATCACGCGCTAATTAAAAGGACAGTGGTATTTTTCCTCGCTGAGTAAATTCCATTGTTTTGATCGTTTATTACGTATCAAGACTACTGTTTTCACTTTAATTGAATTTATTTTAGTTAAAGCATTCGATTAGAGTATCGTTTGTGTTTCTAAATTAGTTTGTCGTCAGTACTTTTGAGTACTTTGTTTTCTATTGCATCTGTTAGTACTTTTGGTCCTAACAATCTACAGTTTTCCACTTTTCTTGGTCATAGACCATTTTTGTCTCTGAGTATTATTGCATCTAGTTCTTTTTTCTAAATAAAGACCTATGTTTAATGACTGGACAGTGCGAAAAAAGCAATTGCTAACGTCTGGGCTGTCGTTATTCAGTTGAAAGCGGCATGCAATGTGAAGAGTGCAAAGGCTGGTACCACGAAGTTTGCACGAATTTAACGCCTGTGGCTTTCAAACGGTCCAGTAAAAACGGTTGCGTATGGCTTTGTCAACAGCGCTGTTCGGATGCAAACAGCTTGCTAACCCGGGCCATCTCACTGGTAACTGCTGCAAAAAAGTCTTTTGGCAAGCGCGGTCAGGACACACCGAACAGTAATCGCTCTTTCGACACGCAAATTGGTGTGGAGCAAACTCAGATGAGTTCGGAAAAAGGTGACTCAAACCGACCAAAGGAGGAAAAACAGTCTTCAAAAAGGTCTGTCTTAACCAAAAACTCAATAAAATAAGTTCCTTCTGTCCCTCGTCTTCTAAATGGCATCCAGCAGGAAACGCCTAAAAGCCTCAATCGCAAGGCTCGATCGGTTTCTAGCGGGAAGCATAACCTGACCTCCCAAATTGTCGACAAGCCTCCGGAATCCCACAGTATTTTTGACGCAACTGTGGTTGCTTCTCATAGCAATGTTAACGAATGGGCACAGGTTGTAAGGAAGAAACAACATAACGATATAAAAGGGAGTCCTGCTCCCATAAAAGTAGTTGAGAAATCGAAGGCTGATTAAAGTGACAGATCTGTTATTTTTCATACAATCAATGAGAGTGAAAGCTCTGAACCAAAAACTCGTTTTGGGCATAACATCGTGCTAATAAAACAGCTACTTAATCAACTCATGCCTCAAAATACTCCCGGAGTCACCTTGTTAAAGGTGTACAGACTAGATAGTCTAGCGAACTTGAAGCCTAATCGATCCAGACTGCTTAAGTAGCATTCAAGTCTTCGAACTAGCGCAACTTAATTTTACAGAATCCACATAAATTAAAGGGTTCAGTAGTTTTTATCTGTAAGGACTTGTCGTTGGCCGATCACATAAAAAGACGGGAAGCCGAAAAACTACAAGTTAGGTTAGACGCTGGCGAAAAGGATATAAAAATTGTAAATTTTTGGGTTGTAAGGCTTCGACAGAGAATGATGCCCAAGCCACTCTGGATGAAGCACGAAGCCACTTAAATAGGCTTCGAATCTGTTAAACTAATACCTGAAGCTTACTCAATAAGCGATCGGAACTAGGTGTACAGATTGACTCGCAGTCACAGAAACCTGGCTGACACAGTCTATAGATAGTATGGAACTTAATTTCGGAGTTTTTATGTTAGTAAGGGCCGACAGAACACAAAAGCGTAAAGGATGGAAAGTAGCTGTATTCATTAAGAAGGCTATCCCATTTGCCATTATCGACAGTGTAACCCATGTGAAAGGAACGTGTGTATAAGTTAGCTGCCGCTTGAAATGCAAGGGACAAGAGCTGTGGATTGGTTTTGTCTATCACAGTCCAAGCTGTGAGGTAAATGAAGTCCTGTTAAGCAGTCTCAATACTTGGTCGCAAAGTGGTCGATGTCTAATTCTAGGGGACTTTAATGCACCTATGGTAGACTGGGAAAATCTGCGAACTGAATGGTCAGAAAAGTCCTTCAAGCAGGAACTAGTTGATGTGGTTATCACATGTGCCCCTAGTGCAACATGTGAAAAAAGCGACTAGGTACGACCCGGACACTGAGTCATCCTTACTAGATCTTATATTGACTCACTATGAGGATGACGTTGCGAACCTCCATTACATGCCACCCCTAGGTAAAAGTGATCACGCAGTTTTAACTTTCGACTTCCAAATAACCGTCAATCACGAGCACGCGTTAACTCAATCTAGACCTAACGTCTGGAAAGCAAACATACCAGATATCACGCACTCAGCATCGTTAGTAGATTGGACAATAGACCCAGAGTCCTCAATTGAAATGGCTTGGGACGCATTTCGAAATTTATACTTAAAAGTTACCGCACCCCACATTTCTTGGACTGTGCCAAGTGGGCCGAGAAACTCCCCACCATGGTTCAGTAGGGAGGTCCGCATCCTTCTTCGTAAGAGAAGAAAAATGTGGGATAGATTTAGGTTACTGGGAGCTGATGAGACAAAATCTCAGTATCGAAAAGCCCGGAATACTTGTGCCTCGACCCTCCGTAAGTCTAGAAATTTGTACGAAGAAAAGTCAGTCAGTCAGCTACAACGTAGGACCAGGCACATATGTGCATCGGTCCAGGTTGCCATACCTCATTAGCACAGCAAGATGAACACCGGATTCATAGGAGTGGTTAGGTCAAAGGTTGCAATAAGGATATAGTATAGGAAGAAAGAATTAGTTCGTAGACAGAAAGAATGAAGTGATTTTAGTCTCTTAGTTTAAGGGAAGACAGGGAGTGTATACACCGACGCCATTGTGATCGATTCCGAGCCATGTCCCCAAGAGTCTCCAACCATTGGTTGCGAAAGTCACGCGGACCTCAACCAAGTAGTCTGCATCTACCAACGTGGCTCAGACTAGAAGTTAGTGACTTCAGGCACTGATGCCACGTTTTGGTTTGGCCGCCCCTAACTTTCTTCCAACCATCCCCTACCCCGGTTAGCATTGCACGTCGTGGTAATCGGTGTTCAGGCATACGTAATACGTGGCCCAACCATCTCAGTCGATGAAGATTCATAGCCTCATCAACTGATTTACCATCATTCCCTAATACCCTGCGTCTAACCTCGCTATTACTTACCCGGTGTTCCAGCAGATGCCAGCAATATTTCTAAGGCATCTGTGGTCAAATACTAGTAGCTTACGAGTGTCTTCTACTCTTAATGGCCATGTTTCGCTGCCGTAAATTGAAACAGAACGGACTGTCGCGCAGTATACCCGTCCTTTTATTGATAGACGGATATCTCGCCTTCGCCAAAGGTGACGCAAGTTGGCAAAAGCCAAACGAGCTTTTCGAATCCGTGCTGAGATTTCGTCCGATACCAACCCATTAGGGCTGATCACACTTCCAAGATAAGTGAAGTTGTCAACGCGTTCGACTACTTCACTCCCTATCCTTAGTTCAGGTGTTGACGCAGACCAGTTGTGGAGCAACAACTTGCATTTAGAGGGAGAGAAGCGCATCCCAAACATTCTGGCATTGTTGCTTAGTTCTACCAGAAGACTCTGCATTTTGTCAGCGTCTTCACCAAACAGGACTATGTCATCTGCGTATTCTAAGTCGATAAGTGGACCTCCTGGAAGGAGATCAATACCCGAGAATTCAGTCGACGAGAGTGTTATTTCCATCAATAGGTCTATGATGAAGTTAAACAAAAATGGAGAAAGTGGACAGCCTTGACGGACACCACTTGAGGTTGCAAAAGTAGATGACAGTTCGCCATAAGCCCTGACTCGACTAGTAGTGTTCGAGTAAAGAGCCTTCACAAGGTTTATGTACTTCTGAGGTACGCCTTTCAATGACAGACACTGCCACAGAGTCTCGCGGTCTACCGAGTCAAATGCTGCTTTTAAGTCAAGAAAGACCACCATTGTCGGACGTCGATAGGTATGCCTGTGTTCTAGAACCTGACGAATGGTGAATATGTGGTCGATGCAGCCACGACCAGGTCTAAAGCCAGCTTGGTTCTCTCGAGTTTGTAGTTCACGAGTCTTAGTTAGGCGTTTGATAATTATCGAGGCCAGTATTTTAGATTCTATGTTTGTTAAACTAATCCCTCTGTGGTTGGCACAGGATGATTTTGACCCTTTCTTATATATTGGGACGATAAGTGATTGCGACCAGTCAGATGGGATAAAGTCTAATTCCCAGATCTTAGCTAAAATATCAGTCAACTTAATCGCTAAAATTGGACCACCATCCTTAAAGACCTCTGGAGCCAATCCATCTGGACCAGCTGCCCTTCCTCGTTTCAGATCAACTATAGCCTTTTGAACTTCAGCAAGAGTAGGGGGACCTACTTCAATGTTCCATTCACGCTGTCTGGGAATGGAGGGTAGTTGTAGAGTAGCTGAAGGCCGGTTGAACTGTTCTCTGAAATGTTCCGCCCATCGTTCTAAACGTCTGGACTGGGAGCAGATGAGAGTATCGTCTTTTTCCGATATAATCTCACTTACACTTGACTTATTAATTCCATTTTCTTTTATTAGTCTGTAAAGCTGTCTTGTGTTCCCTATAGTCGCCGCCTTTTCCATCTCTTTTGCTTTCATTGCCCACCACTGCTCACGGTCGTTTCTTAGACTTTTTCACAACCTAGATCTGATTTGTTTTCGCTCTTCATCATGTTCGGAACCTGATGGGACGAGTTTACGAGAATCCATCAGTGTGATAGA